TGGCCCATCCACAGCGACTCCTCCTCCTGCTGCTGCTCCTGCTGCTCCTGCTGCCTCTGCTACCATTGCCCTTGCTCCTGCTGCTCCTGCTGCTGGCTGCTCCAACCCGTGCTCGAGTGCAGGGAAAGGCAGTTCCACACATGCAGGCGTGGGTTCAGCAGACTCAGTCCCACCAACGCAGGCAGATGTGAGCAGGGCGATGAACCGGCTGCTGTTCAACTCCCGCCTCTTCCAGCAGCAGCTCTGCGAGCAGGAAGGGAGCACAGCACTTGCAGACGCGAGTCCAGCAGACTCAGCCACAGCAGCACATGCCGACTTGAGTCCCGCAGGTGCAGGCGCACCAACACAGGCGGATGTGAGCAGGGCGATGAATCGCCTGCTATTTAACTTCCGCCTCTTCCAGCAGCAGCTCTGTGAGCACATCTGGGCGGCCGGCCACTGGGCTGACGCTGTCGACCCCCTCACCGGCTACCTCATGCACGCTGCTTCTCGCACCAGTGGCAGAAGCAGCGGTCGTGCTGCTTCTCACAGTGGTGGTGTCACCTTAGAGAATTCTCAAAAGCAGCTCTGTGAGCACATCTGGGCGGCCGGCCACTGGGCTGACGCTGTCGACCCCCTCACCGGCTACCTCATGCACGCTGGTATCGGCGGTGGCAGTAGCAGTGACAGTGGCGGGGTGGTGGTGTTGGTGGTGCTATCGGTGGTGGTAGCAACAATGCTGTTGGTGTTGGCGGGGTGGTGCTGGTGGTGGTGCTGGCAGCACGTGGCCATTCCCAACGCCCATCAAGTACAACGAGGTGGACATCGCTCAGATCCTCCTTGGCTACCCCGTTGCTCCCACTTCCACCACGACCAATGAAGCAGCAGCAGAAGCAGAAGCCGTAGCTTTTCTGGGCTCAACTGTGCCTCTCACCGCTGCAGAAGCAGCAGCAGCAGCAGCAGCAGGAGGAGCAACACAGCCAGCAACACCAGCACAACCAGCAACGCCAACAGCACCAGCATCACCATCCATGCCCTCATGCCCCCTCATTCTCCACCCTTCCTTCGGCACACACACCTACCCAGCCTCCCTCCTCACCACCGCCCCTCTCCCGCTCCTGCAATCCGCCATCCGCCACGTGGCAGGCTCTGGTTGGCGCCTGCCAGGCTGGCAGGAGGAGCCGGGGGTGCTGGTGGTGGGGCAGGGGACGGGGGATGGGAAGAGGAGAGGTGTGACTGGAACAGGGAAGGGGAGGAGGAGGGAGGTTATGTGGAGGAGTTGTTAATGGCACCTGAGCTTGAACCTGAACCTGAACGTGAACCTGAATTTAGACCTGAACCTGAAGCTGAGGTGCACCCACCGTGCCACACCTGCTCCCCCTCCTCCTTCCCTCCCGCACTCCCCTCCCTCTCCCGACTCACTCTCACTCTCCCCCACACCAACCACCTCATTGTCACCAACCTCTCCCTCCATCTGCCACGTGGCAAGGCCTTACTGGTCACCGGGCCTAGTGGTTGCGGCAAGACCAGCCTCCTGCGAGCCATTGCTGGACTCTGGCCAACCAGCAGCAGCCACGTCAGCAGCAGCAGCAACAGAATCCCGTCTGGTGCAGTTCCGATCCCCCCTGTGACGCTATACCCTCCTGCTGCCTGCCCCCATGTCATGTTCCTTCCCCAGAAGCCCCTTCTTGCGCCCTCCCCCTGCCTGGCTGCTCAAGTCATGTACCCCTTTCACCCTGAGGGTATTCCCAAGGCAACTTGCAGTGGGAGAGAAAGGACAGACGAGGGTACAAGGACTAGGATGGAGGGCTGCTCTTGCTGTGGTGGGTTTGACGCATCTGTTACCCCATTTTGCGTCCTTGTGTGATAATGTACTAGTGGAGGCTGAGGAGGATGCTTCTGGGAAGGAGAGGCACTGTCAGCAGCACTGGGTGGAGCAGCACCAAGGCTGTTCCAACCTTGGGACGTCTGTACAACGGCCGGTTAAGGCTCAAAGTTGGACTGAAGGGCTTTCTCCAGGGGAGCAGCAGCGGCTTCAGTTTGCAGAGTGCAAGAGTGGTGTTTCATTGCCCGAGATTGGTTTTCCTGGACGAAGCTACGAGTGCCGTAGATGGTGAGATGGAAGCGCGGATGTATGAGTGGCTTGCAATGGCTGGGGTTGCTATTGTTAGTGTTAGCCATAGAAGAGAATCTCTGCGGAGGTGGCACCATGCTGAGCTTGTGCTAGAGGGGGATGGAACAGGAGGGAAGGTGGAGAATAATGCAATGAGATGTCATGTGTGTATGCCTTACAAACATAAGTACATCCGCAGTCGTAAGCCTTCCGTAAAACGCAGATGCTCAAACTGGGAGGTGGGTATGGTTGTGGTGATGATGAGCCATGATGACAGCACGCGAGCCGTGCTTTCGAAAGACAGCGGATTGGTCAAGGAGACCGACAAATGAAAAGCCTGCCACGCTGGCTCCACAAACTCCAGCGCGCTTTGAGAAATCGTGATTGATTCCTCCGATTTCTTTCCCATTCGCCAGGCATCTTGAGCTAATTGATGTTGCCTGCCACACGATCCACGTGGTTGACCCAATCGGAGGGTGGATGCCAACCTCGTGGACCACCATCGAGCATGCCGAGGTATTATGACGTGGCAACGCGCCTCCTCCGAGATTGGTTGTTTACGGCGAATGATTTCAATCAAAAGGCCACTTTCAAAATAAGAGGTAGGAATAACCAACGGGTAATTCATGGCAGACAGATTCAGGCAGAATGATTGTCATTGGTTAGTGGAAGCTAGTAAGTCTGAGGTAGGAAGTTACCTCCATAATTTACGATAACGAGGAAAGGACGTACCTGAAGGTTGACGACCAGCCAAAGCGTCGAACGTCGTTCATAAGTTTCTCTGTTCGCATAGACGTATCGGAGCTCGACTACTAAGAAACTTTGTAGTCGTACTTTCTGAAGCATAGGTCCTCCGTTGTCAGAAACGTCCGCCTTTTCCAAGACGTACCGAGCTCCTTGCCTTGCTTCCTCCGTAGTAGGACAAGTCTTTCTGCGTAGCATTGCTGAATTCAGTGATTGTTGGACATTCTCTTGTTCACCAATCGTACAACTGCTATCCCCCTACTTCGAAAGAACCTCTTACGGCAACCATGGCGGCGGTTCGTTCGCTTATCTCGTCCGTCAGACTCACTCCGGCTGCAGCAGTACCACTCAAATCCTCAGCCTCCTCACTCGTCCGCGACGAGTCGAGAAATCTCAACTTAAGCGTGAATCTCGCCGCATCATGCTCATCAACTAAGGGCTCTCGTCGAGTCGCACCTCCTTCTGCTGCGGCGACTACCCTCGCGGCTGCTGCTGCAGCACCCACAGCGGAGGACGCGCCGTCGGTCGCGGCGTCAGAAACGAAAGTCACGACACCGCCGCGGCGCCGCCTGAAGGTGGGGTGCCACGCGGCGCAGGGGCGGCGCGACGAGATGGAGGACCACGTGGTGGTTCTGGAAGACATAGGCGCCGGGTTCCTCTACGCCGGCGTGTTTGACGGCCACGCAGGTGCGCGTTTGCCGGCGTGTTTGGCGGCCAAGCATGCAGCTTTCTGAGCGTTTCGGTTTCTACGCTTCTAAGAAGCTTCCGAGATTCTGAGCATTTGAGCGTGTGTTTTCCACTGGAAATCGTGTTTGTCGCACGTGCAGGCGCGTCTTCCGCGAAGTTTCTGAGCGACGAGCTGCATGACGACTGCATGGAGGCACTGGAGGGCGGCGCGGTGCTGGAAGATGAGGACCTCACGGCCGCCGAGGACGCGCTTGAGGATGCTTTCCTTAAAGCCGACCAACGGCTGCTGCAGTGGTGAGTGTTTGTGCTTGTGTGGTGAGCCTGTGGGGTGTGCTTTCATCTCGCGGTGCTGGAGGATGAGGATCTGACGGCTGCGGAGGGCGCGCTTGAGGACGCGTTTCTCAAAGCTGATCAACGCCTGCTGCAGTGGTGAGTGGGTGTGCTTGTGGAGTGTTGGCGACTGCTGCAGTGGCGAGTGGCTGTTGAGTGTGTGGTGAGCTTGTGGAGGCGCTGGAGGGCGGCGCGGTGCTGGAGGACGAGGATCTGACGGCCGCGGAAGACGCGCTCGAGGACGACCAGAGACTTCTCAGGCTGACCAGAGACTTCTGCAGTGGTAAGAGGGCCTGGTGGTGTGGGGTGGGTTGTGCTTGGTGGGTTGGGTGTGCATGACGACTGCATGGAGGCGCTGGAGGGCGGCGCGGTGCTGGAGGACGCGCTGGAAGATGCTTTCCTTAAAGCCGCAAACGGTGCTGCAGTGGTAAGAGGGCTTGGTAGGGTGAGTGTGTTTGGTGGTTGTGTTTGTATGGTGTGCTTGTTTGAGTGCTGGCACTGGAGCGCGGTGTTGGAAGGTGAGGATCTGACGGCAGCGGAAGGCGCGCTGAAGACGCGTTCTCAAGGCCGATCAACGGCCTGCTGCAGTGGTAAGAAGGCTTGGTGGGGTGGCCCAAACGTCAACGCGCATGGCCCCTTCCCTTCCCCCGTCCTCCCCTCCTCCCCCCTCCTCCCCCCCTCCTCCCCCCTCCTCCCCCCCGCGCACAGGCTGGAAGAGCACAGTTCCGAGCCCGAGTCCGGTTCCACCGGTACAGTGGCGTTTGTGCGGCACGACCGGCTGTTCGTGGCGCACATAGGCGACTCGCGCTCATTCCCCCCATCCCCTTCTCCTCCCCTTGCGCATACCCTCCCAAATTGCTTCCCCAGGCTGGAAGAGCACAGTTCCGAGCCCGAATCGGGTTCCACCGGCACTGTAGCATTCGTGCGGCACGACCGGCTGTTCGTGCGCACATAGGCGACTCTCGCGCCGTGATGTCCCGATCACATGTCCCCCGATCCCCCCTTGCGCAGGCTGGAAGAGCACAGTTCTGAGCCCGAGTCGGGATCAACAGGCACTGTAGCGTTCGTGCGGCACGACCGGCTGTTCGTGGCGCACATAGGCGACTCGCGCGCCGTGATGGCCTCTCGCCCCAATCCCCCGTCAATTCTTCCCCTCCCTGCATATCCCTGCGCTGCACCCCAGGCTCGAGGAGCACAGTTCTGACCCCGAGTCGGGATCAACAGGCACTGTAGCATTCGTGCGGCACGACCGGCTGTTCGTGGCGCACATAGGCGACTCGCTCTCACCCCCCGTCTCCCCTTGCGCATACCTTCCCCAATTGCTTCCCCAGGCTCGAGGAGCACAGCTCGGAGCCAGAATCGGGCTCAACAGGCACTGTAGCATTCGTGCGGCATGATCGGCTGTTCGTGGCGCACATAGGCGACTCGCGCGCCGTGATGGCCCGATCACATCACATGTCCCCCCATCCCCCCTTGCGCAGGCTAGAAGAGCACAGCTCTGAGCCCGAGTCCGGTTCAACAGGCACGGTGGCGTTTGTGCGGCACGACCGGCTGTTCGTGGCGCACATAGGCGACTCGCGCGCCGTGATGGCCGTTGGGGGCGACGAGGGGTACATCTCGGACGACCATAAGCCCAGCGGCGACTCGAGCAAGGCGCAGGCGGAGATTAAACGAATCAACAAGGCGGGCGGATGGGTGAGTAGTTTGTGTTGAGTCACCACACATGTTCCCCCCATCCCCCCTGCTCCGTTGGGCGCGCCGTGATGGCCGTTGGGGGGGGCGACGAGGGGTACATCTCGGACGACCATAAGCCGAGGGGGAGGGGTGTGGTGTGGGGGGGGTTGGGGCTGGAGGCGACGAGGGATACGTCTCAGGCGACCATAAGCAGGGGGAGGGGTGGGGGGGCGGTGGGGAGGGGTAGGAGGGGTGGGGGGGGGTAGGGGATACCCAGCGGTGGGCGCGCCGTGATGGCCGTCGGGGGCGACGAGGCGAGGGGTACATCTCGGGCGACCATAAGCCCAGCGGCGACCTCAGAAGCAACGCTCTCCCAATCCACCCTATCTCTCCCTTTATCCACCTGCCCGTCGCCCTCCCCCCTCCACCCACCTCCCCGTTCGCAGGTGAGTCAAGGGCGGGTGTGTGGCGTCATTGCCGTGTCTCGGGCCTTTGGCAATGTGGCTTTCAAGACGAGAAAAGAGGAGTGAGTCACTGACTGAGTGAGTCGTGCTTCTGAACAAGTAACCAGCTTTACCAATACACCTACCTGGATCAATCACTGCACACAAAACAAACAAACAAACAAGCAAGCAAGCAAACAAACAAAACTAAGACAAATAGAAGGGAACCGACAAGTAAAGTACTTGTATGCACATCAATGCCCTACTCTTCCCACTGAACCACTCTTATACCATGCTGAACCGCACTTTACCGCACTGTGCTCCTTTACGTGCAGGATGATGCAACAAGGAGTGAAGAAGGGCAAGTGGACCACCAGATGGGTCTCCAAGTAAGTATTTTTTCGCTGCTTGCTGCTTACTGCTTGCTGCTGCGGTCAACAAAACCGAACCGAGTCTGATTGCTGCTGCGTTTAGTCATTATGATGGTGAAGAAGGGCAAATGGACCACCAGATGGGTTTCCAAGTAAGTTGGTATCGCTGCTTGCTGCTTGCTGATTGATGCTTGCTGCTCGTTGCTCATTGCTTGCTGCTTCCCCGTACCTTCTTCCCCCTGCCTTCTCCCCTTGCCTTGCTTTTCTCCCCTGCCTTCTCCCCCTTGCCTTTCTCCCCTGCCTTCTCCCCCTTGCCTTTTCTCCTCTGCCTTCTCCCCCCCGCCTTTTCTCCCTGACTTTTGCCCCTGCCTTCTCCCCCGTACCTTTTTCCCTGCCTTTTTGCCCCCTTCTTTCTCCCCCCTGCCTTCTTTCCCTGCTTTCTTCTCCCTGCCTTATCTTTCCACCCTTCTTCTCGTTCCTGTTTTTCAGGAGGAAGTACGATTCTGATTGGATCTCAGCCCTCCCTGACGTGTACGGCACTGAGCTGACAGAAGATGCCGAATTCGTCATTATTGCGTCTGACGGCCTATGGGACGCCTTCTCCAGGTACAGTAAACGCACCTCTCCCGTGAACCTCACTAGTTCCTAGTGACACGTGCCGAATGACACCCTTCCTTCCAGTGCCTTGCTCCGCTCTGACGGCCTATGGGATGCGTTTTCCAGGTAGAGTAAACGCACCTCTCCCCGTGAGTCCTGTCAAATGACACACTTGAGAATTCTCATAAATGACACCCTTCCTTCTTAGTGCCCCACTTCCATCTGATGGCCTATGGGATGCGTTCTTCCCCAGGCCATCAGTACGGAATCTGCACCCCCCGTCCTCTTCCTCACTCCCACACACCCACTTCCCTCCCTTTCCCCACCCGCCCTCCCTCCCACTCCCCCCCACGCTCCACTACTCTGGCCGCTCTGAGGCACTGAGGTATGTGCGGGCCGAGATGGGGAGGCATGGGGACGTTGAAGTCAATGACTGCTCATACTGGAATATTTCCTTCGCTCCCTCCTACACACCCTTCCCCTGACACCCTGTTACACTGGCAGCTCTGAGGCGGTGTCGTTTGTGCGGGCCGAGATGGAGCGGCATGGGGATGTGCAGCAGCTTTCCCACACATCTACCCACACATCTACTTCCCTCTCTCCCTCTCCCATCACTCCCGTCCACTTTCAGCTCTGAGGCGGTCCACTTTCAGCTCTGAGGCGGTGTCATTGTGCGCAGCGAGATGCAGAAGCATGGGGACGTGCAGCAGGCATGCGAGGCGCTCGTGCACGCGGCTCTGCATGTGAGTGTATCAGCGTACACTGTACACTACAATATAACATCTTGCGCTGTACACTACAGTTAACATCTTGCACTGCACCGTAGACAAACATGGAAGTGCAGAGCAGCAGGCATGGGAGCGCTCGTGCATGCGGCTCTATATGTGACCTTGGTTGAACTCCCTTCCGCTGCTGCGCCCCTCCCTCTCAGGACCGTGGGACGGAGGACAACACGAGCGTCATCGCCCTCCCAGCTCATTCCATGTGTCTCCTTGTATGCTCACCTGCGTTCTGCTCTCTGCTGCGCCCCTCCTCCCTCCCTCAGGACCGTGGGACGGAGGACAACACGAGCGTCATCGTCATTTCATTGAGAGACTAGCCTCCCTGTTCAAAACAGATACCGGTAGAACAGTTAGTCTTACACCCAATCATCATCTTATTCGCGAAGCTCAGTGCTAGCTAGCACGACCATCAAAGCTTATTGCCCGATCATCAAAGCAAATCGTCACAGCTAATCGTCCTGGCCAATTACCATCGCCCATAACCAATTGCAATCGCGATCAAGCCATGGCTATTCCTTTCTACATATATAGCCTGCTGAAGAATCATTCCGCTGTGGACATGTCCCAATCGTACATGTCCCAATCGGGTGTACCGCTCCGAACCGAACTAAACCAGAGAAGCGAAAATTTTGAAACTAGGGTGTAATTCGGTGTAATAAGATGCAGTGCGGTAGAATCGATTGGGACACATCGATTGGGACGCTGTCCACAGCGGAATGTACCCTCAGTCTGCCTCTCAGGCACCCTTGTTTTGTCACTTCCACCTGAAGAATCACCTGTCGCTCCACCACCAGTCAGAACTATCACGCCATCTTCCTGGCTCTGTTGCAGTCTTCATTAGGAAATGTGACATGCTGTGCCAACAGTCATAATTATTCAATGCCATTTGCCTGGCTCTTTGCAATCTTATCTTAAAATCTGTAAGAGCGAATCCCGTAATAGCTACAGCGTTTTTTAGCAAGCAGTGCAGGGCCCATATCAACAAGCAGAGCACAGCTGAAGGGAGAGAACAGATATTGGAGCATCCAGAATGGAAAACAGCTTATCGTACTTAGACACTACAAGCACCTAACCATTCACAACTACCAGTAACCGACCGAAACAAAACATCCATTCGTAAGCACTAACGCAGTTCCTTCCGGATCAGAGCGGACCATCCAACCCTAGTCATTTCCCACCCCACGAGGCTAAACGCTAGCTTCGGCCGGGCATTCTTCTTCCCCAAGATCTTCATCTGCTCCTTCTTTGTCTTCTCCTCCTCTTCCTTCTTCTTCCTCTTAGCCTCATCCCCTGCTGCCTCTGCTTCTCCTCCAACTCCCGATACCGCCTCTCCGCCTCCCTGCCCTCGCCTGCTCCTCCAATCGCTGCCGCTCTGCCTCCTCTGCTTCTCTCTGCTTCTGCTGTAACAACTGCTGCTGCCGCCGCTCTTCCTCCTTCCGCTTCTCCTCCTGCAAGGGATAGAGGGTTTGGTTGGGGCAGGGAAGTGAATGTGGGAATGTAAAGAGTGGCCAAGACAAAGAGAGAGTTTAGGCACAAAAGAGAATCACTTCTTTCTAAGTCCGACTTCTGGCCTATTTCTTCAAACTCAGAGGCTCCTTCAAGTATCCAAGAAACAGAGGGTTGCAACATTTCTTGCCCCAACCCTCCAGGCTTACTGTCCCCATCCTTGCCACCCCTTCAACACCCTTCTCAACGCATTTAAAAAGGGCTCAACACATGAACTCCCCCTTTTTCCCTCTCACCTCTTTCCGCCTCTTCTCCTCCTCAGCAGCCTCCTTCTCCTCCTCTAAAGCCCTCGCCACCCCCCCAGGAAGCTTCCGCCGGCCTTCCTCAATTAAAGCCGCCATCTCCCTCTTAATTTCCTCAGAGGTAAGTTCCCCGCCACACGCTCCCGAATCGCCTCTTCAAGCCTCCTTGTAGTCTCCTCCGCTATAAGCTTCTCCATTGCCTCTTCTCGTAACCTGCACACACACCACACATAAAGGAAGGACGAACGTTCGGAAATATGTGAAACACCTTAGGCACCTTTCCAGATTAACATCCCTCACCCATCCACGCAGCCTTTCTCGAAACCTAACCTACCTCCCAATACACTAGAATTGAGGGGTGTCAACTGTTTATACACCCAATTACAACGTTGACCAGCGCTGACTAGCATTGACTCACCTCTTCCTCTCAGCTCTCTCCGCGTCCTCCTTTGCCCTCCGCGCCTCCATCTCACTCTCCTTCATTTTCTCATCCCCTTCCGCCTCCCCCTCCCCTTTCCCCTCCGCTCCCCTCTCCGCCTCCTTTTCTGCCTCCTTCCCACCCAAGTCAGCTTTCTTCCGCTCGTCCTTTCCTTTAATCACCCCTTCCGCAACTCCTTTGCCCTTCTCCGCGCCTTTCCCGCCCTATCCCCTTCATCAACCACGCTATTCCGCTTCCGCGCGTTTTCTCTCCGGGCGCGGGAGCGTGGGGAGGGGGAGCGGCGCGAAGGGGAGGGGAGCGCGAGCGCCTGCGCGGGGCGGGGGAGCGCGAGCGGCTGCGGCTCAAATTCCGACGGCTGCTTCCGCGCGCACTTTCACCCTTGCGCGCGCCTTCCTGCTTCCGCTCATCGCCCCCTTTGCGCCCGCTTTCCCGCGCCTTGTCGCGACGGCGGGGGGAGGGGGACTGCTGCGACGCCCTCTGGCCAATCAGCGACGAGGAAGTTCCCAAGGTGTGCCGAACGCACCAGAAGAGGAGCAGATGGGTATGGAGCGGTGTGGAGCGGCGAACGCACAGGCGAGAGGGAGGGCGGAGACGAAGGGGGGATGGAGTGGGTGGAATGAAGTTAGTGCGGAAACGGTGGAATCGTGGCATGGCACTTAACTAAAAGCGGTCCAGTTTAGGGGATGGGAGGATGGGGAGGCAGAGGAAGCGGGGGGGAGGGGAGGATAGGGGGAATTGAGGAGAATTAGAATGGAGGAAGTACCGTCGAAGGGTGTATGACAGGGGACAAATGGCCGCCATTGGAAAAGAAAAATGAATCTGCAGCTCTTACAGGCACGCTGCGTTACAAGCACGATGCCTGTAATGACGAGTCTCTTACAGGCGAGCTGCAGGGAAATAGGGTCAGACACTGGCACCCTCCCAATACCGGACACGTGAGGACCGTTATAACGGGGATCACGTGGGTTTCATGCTGGGGAGGTAGAGGCGATAACACGAGTCGAAGCGATAATAACGGAGAGAATGTCTTCCTGTGTTGGGTACTGAAGGTGCTGACGCCGCTCAAGGTCCCTGAAGGAGCTGATGACGCATAATGGAGGCGGATAACGAGTCCGAGCGCGGATGTAAGAAAGGAAACGAGGCGGAATGGAGGAAATTGTTCGATAACAGCATTCCCCGATAAATGTTATAAGCATGTCGACGCTCGGCAACGGAGAGCATGCGCTTTTAAGGAAGCGTGTTTATCGACGATTATGCAGGAGACGAGCACGCAGACGAGGCATGTCAGAGTCCCGACCTGCCGTAAGGCGATCTGCTTCGGCTCCGGCGGTTCCGTCGATCTTCCTTCCTGTCGTCTCGACGGTCGCCCTTCCGATCCTCTCTCCGACCCTCCTTCCGATCCTCTCTTCGATCGTCCCTTCGATCCTTGCGAGCCAATGAGGAACGAGGAGGAGGAGACCGGGAGCGAGACCGCGATTTCGATCGGACTGGAGAGGGAGATCGACGGCGCTTCCTTACTGGCGACCTCGAGCCACGTCGGCCCATTCCGTCTGAGATACCCGTTCAAAGCCTCTATTCTCTGGAAAAATAACTGATCGATATACCCGTTTAAAGTCTCTATATTCCGCGAACACTACCTTGGAAACTCGATTTCATCTGCCAAGGAGAGCAGCGACGCGAACATAATCACTTGCGACGATCACCAACATGGTAAGATTATCAGCGCGTCAGGGAACAGCCGTGGCCATGGCGGAAGATAGTGTTTGGGATGATAGTGAGGGAATGGTGAAACGGGCCTGGGGATTGTCACAAGTGGTTGGGTAAAACCGATGGAGTATGGTTCTGTGCAGTTTAGAACGGTTCGTGCGCTTCATCGTTCTGAACACAACCTGAACAAGTCGTTCTCGTTACAGGCTCGGTGGCGAGTGCAGCTAATTTAGGGTACAGAGTGTATGGTTCCAGTTGACCACACCTAGTTCAGTTGTGCTCTCAATTATGCAAACTCATGCTTTGCTTTAGAAACAAGATCTGCTACCACATAACGTCCACTACAACTAGGCTAGTCAATCATCAGGTAGATAAGAAAAAATGATACCATAGCTGAACTAAAGCAACAGGCAGGCACATCCACTATGCTCCACAATGCTCCGCATAAGAGGCTGGCTGTCCACCACCTCAAGCACACCTCATGCATCTGGCTGGCTTTGTGACTGCCATTTCTCATGCACAGAAAATAATACAGCGCCTCATCCGTAAGGTTCTTCTACAGTGTCATGTGATCGCGGTTACAGACTCATGCTGTATGGTAGATCATTAGCGAGTCACGCTTCACGCGCCAAAGTAGCACAACTCTTCATCCATCAGGTTGTTCAGCAGCCTCATGTGGTCCTGGTTGCCAATTGCCCCGAAGCTGAAACCAAACAAACTGTCATCCACATCCTCCTCCATTCCCACGGGACCCCCTCCCCCTGCCCCATAGTCCCCCCACCAGTGGCCCCCCATTACCATTGGTAGTGCCATTGCTGCTTGCATTGGCAGCACCACTGGTGGTACCGTTAGCTGTACCCACACCAGCAGCCGCAGCACCAGCAGACATTCCCATGGCACCGGACACCGTTCCCAAACCTGCTGCTCTGGCTTGGCCCGAACCTCCTCCTCCAGCCCCATCGTCAGTAATGGTCTCGTGGGGAGATCCCAGACTTTGCTGCTGCTGCTGCAGCTGCTGCTGCTGCTGCTGATCCAGCATGCCCTCTAGGTTAATCATTCCGTCCAGGTTCGGCGAATCTTCGAGGACCGAGGCGAAGAAGTCGGGGTTGCTGGCAAGAACAGCCTCGGCATCGGAAAGCGCTCTCCGTTTTGCCCCAACCGTCACTCCCCCACCGGAATTAGCAGCACTGGCGCCGTTGCTAGCAGCAGCCGCAGCAGCCACAGCAGCAGAGAGCTCTTGGAACGCTGTCTGCTGCTCATCTTCCTGCTGTTGCTGCTGCTGCAGCTGCTGGTGCAGCTGCGAAGGAAGCATGCCCAGGTTACTCCTCCCAGACCCCCCTCCAGTAGCAGTTCCGCCGCCCCTGTTACTAGATACCATACCACCAGCAATACCACCAGCAACGCCACCAGCAATACCACTGGCTACGCCGCCAGAAATCGCGCACAAAGGGAGGTTCTGATCACTGAAGTTGCGGCGGAAGGGAGGGAGAGACGCGGCAGTGACTCGAGCCAAGGGATTTCGGGAAGCAGAGCGAGCGTTGCTGCTGCCCTCGTTTCGCTCCTCTGCCTGCACTCCCTGCTCCTGAGAGTCGTCTCTTCCTTCCAGAAACCCTGGCTGCTGCCCCTGCTGCCCCTGCTGCTGCTGCTTTGCGTCCTTCCTCCTCTGCTGCTGCTGCATCGCCTGCCCTTGCAGCATCACTTCTCGATACACGTCCTCCCCAACCCCACCAGAAGCTTCAGCAGCAGTGCCAGCTCGAGCCATCCCCCCTCTCGCAGCACCAGCAGACGCTGCAGCAGCACCATTCACACCAGCACCAGCATTAGCAGCAGCACCGGCGTTAGCAGCAGCGGCAGCAGCTGCAGCAGCCATCATCATTCCCGCATAGTGATGCGGCGGCGGAGGCATCCCATACGGCCCCATCCCCATGTGCCCCCCTCCCATGCCCATCATATGCCCGTGCCCGTACATACCCCCGTACACGTCAGCATACCCAGGTGTGTGAGCTGGCAGGCCCAGCGCCGCGGGATACGGGAGCGGCGGAGCAGGAGGGGGAGGGCCCATGATTGGCGGATGAGGCGCGGGAATTCCCCCCATCATGTTCCCCGCGCCCATGCCCATCATATTTCCGGGACCCCCCGGGTGGTAGGTATCTCCCGGGAAGCTTCCCTGCCTGAGCAGGGACGCGTGGCGCAGGTGGTGCGGCGGCAGGAAAGGCGCCACACCGTCGGGCCCGCATGGATGCTGACGTGGCATGTGCGGGACGAAGCTTCCTGCGAACATGGTGGAAGCCGAGGAAGGGTTACCACCAGCAGCGGCGGCGTTTCTTGCCTTGCCGCTTCCGCCTGATGCTTTCGCGGCCGCGGTTGGAGGAGCGGAAGATATTGCTGACGTGGCAGGAGCAGACGGGCCTCCAGCCGTTGCCTTCTTCGGAGCTCCGGCTGTAGCAGTTGCGGCGGCTGTAGCTGTGGCAGCAGCAGCAGCAGAAGCAGCAGCAGCAATTTTTGCAGGGGGGGCTGCAGGTGCGTTTCCGCCAACATCAGCGCGCGAATCCCCCCCAGCAGCACCAGTCTTTCCGCCGCTTGCGCCGCCGCTGGCTCCCGCGGAGCCGGCGGAATCCCCCTCTCCCTTGCCGGTAGGGCGGAACGCGCAGCTCGCTTGGTGCAGGTTTCGCGAGGCGCGGTCCGAAAACGCGTTGCGCCACAAGTGCCGCGGGCAGCGGTCGAACGGGCACATGAAAACTCTATGCTCGGGCAGCATCTCAACCCCCGCGAGCACCGCCTCAATCGGCGGCGCCACGTCATCATCGCCTCCGGGATTCCCGGCAGTAGCATCACCGCCGTCCCCTAGAATTAACAGCTTTTCCGCATTCCCCGGCGCCTGACCCGCAGCCGTGTCAGTAGCGGCGAGATTTGCTTGGATGTGATTCGTCACCGCCGGCATCCACGACTGCGGCTCGGCTTTCATGGCGGCGGCGGGCTTTCCGCCGACGCCGACGGCGCCCGCAGCGGGGTTTTTTCCAGCCGCCGCTCCTTCCGCTGCAGCGCTCCGCTGCTGCTGCTGCTGCTGAAGTGCCTGCAGCGCTCCGGCGAGATAGTCGCCGCATCCCACGCCGCCGTTCGCGGAGATTAAGGGCGGAAGGTCGACGCGGAAGGGGTCGTATTCCGCCGCGCCGGGCGGAAGCGGCTTCCCCTGCGCGTGCAGCAGCGACGCCTCCTCCTGATCCAGCACAGCGAGCCACGTGGCACTCTCCCGCGCCGTCATCTTATCCTGCAGGCACTTGCTTTGTCGCACGAGCTTGCGAATCCGTGCGATATCCGGCGACAAGTGCTTAATCACCGACGTCAGCACACCGACCTTCCACGCCTTCTTCAAATCGTGCGGCTTCTTATAAGGAGGACGACCGCTGCCACGTGGCATCCCCAGCTGCGGCCACCAATCCTCGTCCCCGCTCGGCCACCACGGCGGCGGGTTCCCTTTTTCCAGCGGGTATCTCCGCTGCGGCGGATCGCAGTGTTGCATTAACGCGGATAGCAGCGACCCGAGTGTCGTGTCCTGTAGCTCCTGTAGCGTGCTCGGCGTGGTCAGCTGTAGCAGGCCTGCCGGCTGGTGGTCCTTCTTGCCGGCCGCTACAGCCTGCTCCGCGTTGTAGCGGGCGATGGCGGCCGGCCCGTTGCGGTCGAAGCGCACCTGATCCTTCCACCACGCGCGCAGGTTGTCGGAGCTTCCGCCTACCGGCTTGCCTTTCTCCGGGATTATCCCGTACACGAAACCCTGTAACAAGAAAATTGCGAAACGCAACGAAAATTTTGAAGGTACCAGGTCATTCTGTTACGAACGAAACGCAGCAAGGACGGGAGTTCAAACAAATTTCAGGGACTGTCGCTTTAGCATCATTAAACGGAACAGGCAGTAACGCGTACCTGGGCCTTGCAGACTTCCATCATCTTCAGCATATACTTCAGAATCCCGTCGTGCGCGCGCGACATCTTTTTCCGGCGAGCTTGATCCTGCTGCGACTGCTTCTGGCGCGGCTTAAACTCCTCCTCCTCCTCGTCGTCATCCTCCTTATTCTCCTGAGCCTCTGGAGCATCCTTAATCTTCTGGCAGTCTTTAATCCGCTTCAGCTTGAGGCGGTCCTTCCACATGCGACGTTCCAATTCGTCCACGTCAAGCTCGTCGTCGGAGAATCCGTCCAGATCAGCATCGCCGACCATTAGATCCGCCATGTCACCCATGTCGATGTGGCCGGGGAAGATTATCTCGTCGTCCACCATTACTGAATTCTGCGGAGAAGAAGCTCCCTATGTTATTATCAATTTCTAGTTTGATATAGACCTAGCGAGGAAATCCCCTCTCGGTGAGGGCACTGACCGATAAGGTGTGCTCCCTACTAAGATTGTTATAGGAGGTCCTAGCTGATGACCTGTCACAGACGCAGCACAGGGAATGTTGAATCGTGGGACGCTAGGGATATTTTCGATTCTTTGCAAAGCTGTTCTGAGCACACTAAAGACGTCGACAATCCGACCCCGCGGCGCTCGTGTTGAACATGAAAGATTCGGAAAGCGCTAAGCACGACAGGGAGCTCTTTCTGAGGGACAAACTGGTTGAGATGATCGTAAAGCATTCGCAGATCTGCTAGACTGATTGGCTCCAAGGACACAGGCGAGAAGATGGACAGGGACCGTTGCGTTTCGTTTTCACAACCACACACCTCCTCGCCCGTAACTGATGTGTATGTGTGGGAGCAAGACCTGCGAATGCGATCCGAGTTCTAATTCGGCGGAAGAAGCTACGAAAAGCCTGAAGAACTCAACCCAAGCACAGGCCAAGACAACCTGCAAGACAGTCGAGGACCTTCAGGAGGACGGGGAGGGAAGTTCTAGGCGAAGGCAAGGGCAAGGCAAACCTTGAGGCTGCCAAGCTAAAAAAACGCCGCCAAGCCCGAGGGAAGCCAAGGACGAGGGGGAAAGCTGGCAAGACGAAAAATGAGTGGTGGGAGAAATCCGCGTGATGTGAGGGTTCGGCAATATCAAGGGGCAGCTGCGGTGGATTCTGCAGAAAACAGAATCAAGAAGAGCGCAGTGGTTGGCTGTTTTGGAGGGCAGGAGTGGATGGAGGGGATGGGGAGATGCAAACGGTTCTTTCTGGGCCGTGTTTTCTTTGACAACTTGTGGGAGATCAGATTTTGATCGAAAGGTCACGGTGGGTGATGGAATGGACAGTGGGAGGTGACCGTGGAAACCATGGAAATGGAATCATAGCAGAATCGGCAGGAGCTGTGTCGAAGCAAGAAAGTGCACCACAAATCATCCCACACATTTCGTCTGCCCGTACGGTGTCATTTAAGCGGCACAACGATTCGACCCTAGGAGCAGATACACGACCGACAAAAAATCGTAACAGTGGAATGCTCAAGAAGCGGCAGTAGGCCAAGCGTCGTCGAGGTTTGCCACGTCATTAAGCATGTAAGGACCATCCACAAGGTACCTTCCAGAAGCAAGGACGTCACCGCAACCAATCAATATCTCAATGACCAGCAGTTTGTGGTTGAAATCGCTTCCGCACACATTGTCCGGAAGGTCGCATTGCTTGTTGTCCCGTGTAAATTTTCCTTGAAACACAATCAACAACGCCTATCGATATTTGTTTTGGGGCAGCCTGGAGTGAGTGACCATAATCGTCTTGCCACTGCAGCATGCCCAGTGGTGGGGGGTTGGGGGGGTTGTGGTGGTGATTTACCCTGATAAAATTTGCCCGTGAAAGCGAAATAAGGGTGCGTTCCTGGCGCGTGTCAAGCTTCCGGTCATCCGCGGATGACCGGAAGTTAGACCCACTTTGGGTCATCCGAGACCAACTTCGGGTCTTCCGGCCAAAAATTGCCCCTGTTTCCGGAAAACACAAGGTTTGACAGGAACTTTAACCCAAAGCTTCGGGTCTTCCCGGGAAGGCCCGAAGCTTGACACCAGCCAGGAACGTACCCTAATAACAGTTCTAGTGCTGGGTGCTAGGGAGCAGGAAACTGACAAGTCAAACATAAACAAAATATATATACAGGAGGCATTACTGAAGACTACTACCAGGTCACACATAAGTACAACTGTTCTGTAAAATTTCAAATCCAGTACACTAGTGCAACTCACAACCAATGACTGCAACTAGGCACCGAAGTACCAGATAAGATCCTCGTCCATGAAAGGATCAAATCCAAAGTTATCCAGAATCGGAAGATTCTGCACCATCATCATCCCATCCAGCTGCCCCTGCTGCTCTCCTCCCTCCTGCCCCTCCCCTCCCCCACCCCCACCCCCATGCCCATCCCCTCCCACTGCGCCCATCACATCATGCTGCATGCCATGCTGCATGTCATGCGGCACATGTGACTGCCCGTGGGACTCATCCTGCATAGCCATAGCCATAGCCATCCCGGGATTTGCTACACTAGTTGCTGCTCCCCCTTGCTCTACACCTGCATCTCCGCCTGCCCCAACCGTTTGCCCTGCCTGCTGCTGCTGGTATTGCTGCTGCATCTGAAACAGCTCATACTGCTGCTGCTGCTGCTGCTGCTGCTGGTACTGCTGATACTGTTGCTGGTACTGATGCTGATCATACTGCTGCTGGGTGGGTGTATGTGGGTTCCACACCCCATGACCATGAGCATTAATATGTGCATGTGCATGGGGATGGGCATGCGGATGGGTGCTGGAATAAGGATGGGTATATCCCCCATCGTACGTACCACCACCCTCACTAGCATGCTCATTGTGTGTCTCACGCGTCTCCCCTGCTCGTAACCCCACAGCCAAGTGCAGTAACGACCATTGTCCCTCTCCCTCTGCTGCTCCCGCCACTTCCCCTCCTCCTCCTGCCCCTGCTTCCCCCCCTGCCACTATCCCAGCAGTTGCAGCCGCTTGTCCCTGCTGCTCTCCTGACTCTCCCTCTCTCGTCCCTCCTCCCTCCCTCACTCCTCTCCTCCTCCTGCTGTTGAAACTCATTCCCCTCTCTAAAGCAGCCGGTATTAGGTAATGGCTCTATCTCTTCCTCTCCCCTCCTCTCTCTCCCCTCCTCCCTCCCCCCCTCTCTCCCCTCCTCTTTCCCTTCTACCACTCCCTCCCTCCTCTGCCGAAGCTCGGCTGTGAGTCCTGCTACATCCCCCTTGGGATTGCTCCCTGTTCCCATCCTCCCGAACCTGCGCCTCAGGTTTGGCTCGAGCCAAGACCTCAGCTTGGGCCCGAGCCTGAGCCATGCCCCGGGCAGAGGTTGGAGACCGAGCCTGCGCCTGAGCCTGGGCAAAGGCTCGGGCATAGGCTAGGGCTTGAGCGGGAGAGAGATGGAGACGGGGGGAATGGTTATTGCGGGGGAGATTGTGGGGCGAATGGGGGAGTTTGTGGGGGGAGTGGGTGGGGGGAAGGGTTGTTGAGGGAAAGGGAGTGGAAGAATGGGGAGGGGGGACGGTTGGGGAAGAAGGTGGATGTGGAGTGGAAGGGAGGTTGGTAAGGGTATTGGGGGAAGGTTGAAAGGGGAACTGGGGGGAAGGGCGGAATGGGGAGCCAGGGAAGGGGAAGTTAGGGAAAGGTTGTGAGGGGCGCGGGGGGAGATGGAGGAGGGGCGAGGGGAGGAAGACGATGGGTGGGGGGAAGTGAGGGAGGGGTGGGTTGATCCTGGTTGACTGTGGGAGGATGGAGGGTTGGAAGGAGGGTAGTGACTGTACTGACTTGGATGGGGGTGTGAGGGAGGGTGAAGGGAAGTGCGAGTGTGGGGTGAGATGGCACGGGGTAGGAGGTAGGGATTGGGGTGCGGCATTTGGAGGATGTGTGAGGAGTGAGTGAGTGAGTGTGATTGTGGGGGGATAGGTGTGGGGCGGAGGGGACGGATGGGGCTGAAGCATCAGCAGTGGCATCATTACCAGCAGCAGCAGGAGCATCTGCAGGGGCCGCTGACGCAATAGCAGCAGCTTCAGCACCAGTAGAGAGAGCAGGAACAGCAGATGCAGCAGTATTTGCGGCAGGAGCAGCAGAAGCACCAGCAGCTGCAGCACCAGCAACAATTGCTCCTGCACCACCATCAGAATGAGTTAATGCGGCACCCACTTGCTCCCCTTGCTGCTCCTGGTCCCCATGCTGCTGTGATGATCTCGCCTCCTCTCCCCTGCCTTCTCCCTCCCGCCCTCCTCCTCCCCTCACAGCCTCCCTCCCACTCTGCCACGTGGCACCCTGTGATGGGCTGCAAACAACAATCTGGGGGCGTCTCGCATCAGGATATGTGTGAGAATGCTGCAGGGGAGTGTGGAGATATTGCAGCGGAGTGTGTGAGGGAGCAGGATGATGGGAGCAGAGTGTTGGGGAGTGTGAGTTGCAGGGCCGAGGGTTCCTGCCAGGAGCTGCGTTGCAGACCCTGACAGTTCAAACTGCTGCTGCTGCTGCTGCTGCTGCTGCTGCTGCTGAAGCTGCTGCTGCTGCTGCTGTTGGTGGTTGTGTTGCTGCTGCTGCTGCTGCCTCTCCCCCATTCCTGCTGCTCCCAACCCAGCCGCTGCTGCACTATCAGCAGCAGCAGCAGCAGCAACAGCAGCTTGTGAAACCTCATCATCCCGGGATGTAACGCCGCCGGAAGCAGCACCAGCCACCTCCCTTTCCCCATCGTTTCCCCCATCACCTTCCCCGCCCTTCCCATCCCCGCCCAGCATCTCCCCTAAGTCCGCCTCTCCCCCTTCTAGAACTACTGACGCTGCTTGCACTACAGAAGCTGTAGCAGCAGCTGTAGCGGCAACTGTAGTGGAAGCTGTAGCAGCATCAGCAGACCCAGATGCATCAACAGTAGCGGCAGACGAAGAAGCAGCAGCAGAGGAAGCACCAGGAGCAGAAGCAACGTTCCTGGAAGCCTCAGCAGCGGTGACATCAGCAGCAGCAGCAGTGACGTCAGCAGGAATAGAGGGGGTGGATGATTCAGGGGCGACAGCAGATGGGGTTAGCCTGGTGGTGACGTCACCAGAACCAGCAGCAGCAGTAGCAGTGCCGATGGGCTGCTGTGCTTGTAACGAATGTGCTTGTATCGGATATGCTTGTAACGGGTATGCTTGCATGGGGTGGGGCTGGCCGCTAGGCCGGGAGCGAATCACCACAGGGGTAACGAGCCTAGGCGTATTGGGCAAATTAGGTCCGGTGGTACTGCGAGGTTCGGCACGAATAGGTACGGCAAGATGAGGTCCGGCAGGATGACCTCCCGGACCAAAGCTGCT